ATTGAAGTCACCACAAAGAATAGTTTTATACTGTCTGTGTTTTTGAAGTTTTGTTAGAATAACTTCCAAATTTTTTTAAAAGGTTTTGAAATTTCCAACAGGGCTGCGATATGTGCATAAGACCCATGTTTTTATTGTTGTTAAGTCAGTTAGATGGATATTTCAAAGTCTTTCTGTTTTACAAGATGAGTATGATTTGTGTAGGTTACAAAACTAATTGTATTTTTAATAAAAATGCATGAACCCACCATATGCATGATGTGCATTGTTAATATTTCGACATGAGCTGCTGGCTAGAGAGAAACCTGGTATATATGTGTTATTCTTTAGTTAACCAGTGTTCTGTGAAGCACAATACTGAAATGTGGTTGAGTTTCTCCTCAAGTAATATTTCTATATCAGTGAGTTTATTTTTTATTTTTAAATACCTATAACGTGACAGTGAGTTCTTTTACGTATAATAATATACTTTAATGAATCAATTTATAAACAATAGACCTAATGATACTTGATGTTTTATACCCTGGAAATATTTATCAAGGTCTCAAAATTATTTGAAAGTAATGCAGCTCAAGTAATTCACAGTTTCTGAATTTATACCATTCTGTTATGGTCACTGAATATTTAGTTAGCTTTAAGTTTATGAATCAGAAATTAATGATGAGTAGTATACTACAAATTTTCTTTCATTCCTATTGTAAGTGAAGTAGGTATGTGAAGATAATTTTTTTTAAAATGATTGTTGTATTACACCAAATTCGAAAAAAGAAAAAGAAGGGAGGGGGGGGAATTGCGAATTTAATAGTAAAAAGTGTACATATCATTCGCAGTCGGTAGGACTCGAACCTACGCTCCCAGAGGGAATCTGATTTCTAGTCAGACGCCTTAACCACTCGGCCACGACTGCTTATCAGTGAAAAGACTTTGTTTAAAAATTTGATAAATTCTCTGTATTAGGTTTATTGTTTATAAATTGATTTATTAAAGTATATTATTGAACGCAAAAGAACTCACTGTCACGTTTTAGGTATTTATAAGTTCGGACCATTGTCTCTTGGAAGTAGGTTTCGTAAAGCTAGTAAAGGGAAACTGACAGAATGTCAGAAAATGAAGCAGGTGATATATTTCTCGCAATAACACAAATGAAATTCATTTAATGAATGATGTCAAATTAATGTTATTTTAGTCCAACACCACCTTGCACTAAGCAATCGAGAAAAAGTAAGCATAAGTTTGTAATGTGTACCGTAAATTTTTCGGCGTACGGTCCCTCAGTTGTACGTCGTAAAAATTGTGTTATAACATTCTTTATTCGTAAGGTATTCTTAATACACATGGTATCTAAGACTCCCAAGCCATATTATCCTCCTTCATTTTTTTCCTTCTTCAATTAATTTAGAGCCTGCGTTGGGAGTGAGATAACTTAGATTCAAGGGTACGGGGTTAATTTTTAAAATTAATGTTTATCACTTCTAAATTCTTTATTTATTTACGTCAAAAACTGTATTACGTGCTATTGGGAGAAGTTAAAATTTAACTTCTTCCATTCTACCATTTCTTCTATTCCTCCTCTTTTTCCATTCTACACTTTTGCTCTTGGGCTATACACATTAGACATAAACATACAGTACATTCCTATTAGGCCCAAATACGTGAAAATGTTTCGTGCAATAGTGAAGCTGAAAGAGAATGAGTGGGATCTCAGAATATAACTATGCCATATTCGAAGTCCTGGGATTTAGGATATAACTACTCTTGGGATCTATCTATATTGAATGCATGATAATATCGTAGTCACTTCAAACCTGTAAATGTCTTTTGCGGAGCCCAACAAGCCAATTTATTGTTTACAAAATAGTTTTAAGACATTATGCCAGAAAAAAAGTAAAATAAAATTTTATGACCACTCACAAAACAAAAGCAATGAGGAAGTAGTGAAATATACTCTAAAAACCATTGAACTTCACTACAAAAATAATGTTCTGCACAGCCCATAGGAAATAGCAAACACACTCAATTCAGAAGTCAAGAAAAATTAATCCATCAATTCTCTAAATAACATTAATATGCTGTCAATTATCTCAACACCATAAGTAAATTCCATACATCTTCATGAAACTTTATCCTCACCTTCAGAAGTATTTAAAATGATCAATCATATTTAAATAAATTCTTATTCGGGACTGAAAAATATACTTTACATGGAGTAATTTAACAATAATAAATAATAATAATAATATTTATTGAGTCACATATACAATTACAATCATGTAATTGTATCTTGTTATTTACAGTATCTTAGTTACATCCTTTATATCGTACAGTATCTTATTTACATTCTTTAAAAACCTCAATTTTCTCTTATATTCATTGTAGTCTAAAGATGGGGGGGGGGGACATCCATGTCCTTGAAATTTTGCAGAAAACATTTTGATAAAATAAAAATTAGAAGCTTTTAAGTAAAAAATTATGTAATTCTGAGTTATTTTAAGAAGTATTTTAAACTACTGCCCGTCACATAATCTGTGGCCAAACTCATTGAATATGCTTAAACGTAATAAGTGACAGACAATTTACTGTTTTTTGTGTACATTACACATTACACAATTCAACTAAAATTAATTCCAAAACAACCATTCTCTTGTTCTACCAAGCAGTCCTTGAAGCGTAAAGTGGTCATTCACCACCTTGCACAGGGCAATAAAACCTGGTTAAGATAAAAATTGAGAACTCAATGGCTTATGTTTACTGAGTATACATACAAACAATACTTGTTACAAGGTATAAGTATATTAAATTGAAATGTTTTAAGTTTTCATAAAATCCATGAAAACTTGTGCTGTGTATAAAAAGAATATAACATATACAAAAAAAAATGGTTGTTGGTTTCTTTGAGATTGATAAAACTCGACTATTTGACCAATCTGCACAAATGTTTGCACATCTACGTGTTTTTAACATGGAGAAGGATTTTATATTGCTTATTTTGTTGCAACCCCACGAGGTGATGCTTCAGTTAAATGCAATTCCTAATTCACCTGGACCTCATTGTTGCTGGGAGTTGCTGTGTGATGCAG